ATGATTGGCATGCGGAAATGATTGGCATGCGGAGGACCGAGGCAATGATGGGAGGAGGGAGGAGAGGGAAGGAGGTGTGATGAGTGAGGAACGCGGGGCGCTGTCTCTTCAAAACGAGGACCGAACACCACAGCATGGTTGGAAAAATAAGGTTGCGCAAGTCCTGCCGATTTGCCATCTCGGTATTTTCTGGGGGGGTCAAGTCCTGTGGATCTACCATCTCGGAATATTCTGGGCAAGCTTCTGGCTAAGGCTGAGGCCTCGAGCTGGCGCATTGCCAACCCGTAAGGCTGGTTGGGTTGGAGCGCGGCGGGCGAACCCATGCACGGCCTGTGGGGGAACCACCCCTCACCATGGCGAGCGCCCAAGCCGCACTACCAGCCGCGCAAAGCATGCGTGGCACGCGCAGAACTGCTCGAAAGCCCGCAAGCCATCACCCTCAGACTACTGATCCCCGCGTCTCCCCGCATCCGGACGGTGATCGAAAATTTCCCTCTTTTCATTTTCACTTCACATCGTTCTCTGCGCACCGACGAAGTGGCTGACTTGAGGCCGGGAGCACCAGGGCAAGGCGCGAGGTCGGCTCGAAATAATCACCCCTCAAGATCTGTGCGTCGTGCTCCGCACCACTGGCCCCCACAACCAGGGTGACCAGCAGTCGGCTAAACGCACGCGTGACCCTGGGCAAGAGTGACCTGTGGTGCGCTGCTCCAGGGTGCCGCGGGGGAGCAAAACCCAAGCACGCAAGTCAATCCAGGAGGGACCCCAGTGGGCAGGCCACTCCGGCGAAAGGCCGGTCTCACGCGAAGCCGAAGCAAGCAGCACCACCGCCCTCGCCCTTGGGCGCCCCTCTGACTGGGCACCGCGGGCCTTCGGAGGAGCCCGCCCACCTGCGGCACCCCGTCGCCCTGGGCACCGCGTCGGCGAGGCAGTGCTGGCGGCTCCACCGGCGCGCCGTGGAAGTCGCTGGCCCGGCGCCAGGAGCAGCAGCAGGCGCGCGCGGCAGCGACCGAGAGCTCGGCAAGGAAGGGTGCCGCCTCGAAAGCGCCGACCCTCCAACGCTGCGCGTCGTGCTCCGCGCCACGAACTGCGGCCGGGACTTTTGCGCAGCGTGCCCCCACGGCAACCCAGGCGACCGCTATGCCTTGCGAGTGGGCCTCGTGTCGCCCCGCTCCGCGGGGCAGGACGTCTGCGTCATCATCACCATCATCACCAGCAGCATCATCGACACCATCACCATCATCACCATCAGCATCAGCATCAGCAACATCACCCTTATTAACATCATCCGCATCACCTTTATCATCACCATTATCAGCATCATCGCCATCATCAACCTCAGCATCACCCTCATCAGCATTCTCAGCATCACCATGATCATCCGCAGCAGCATCACCACTCCCTCCTCCTCCTCCTCCGCCTCCTCAGATGTTGCACTATAGTATTATTAGTATTATCATAATTCCTTTCTTCTGGCCATTACTATTCATGTCCTCGTTCTGATTAGTAGTATGATTCGTATTCTTATAATTACCATTCGTAGTAGCATCATTAATAATATGTATATTGTTCCCCCTCCCTTTTTTTTCTTCCTCTTCCTCCTCCTCCTTTTCCCCTCCTCCCCGTTTCCCCCATCCTGCCCCCCTTTTTTCCTCCTACTGTATCCTTTCCCTCCCATGCTGTTGTTCGATTTCCTCTTCCTCATCCCTCTTCCCTCTCTTTCCGTTTCCGTTCCTCTTCCTCCTCCTCCTCTTCTTCCTCCTCCTCCTCATCCCTCTCTTCCCCCTGCTCCTCCTACTCCCCTTTGTATCATCAATATGATCAATATTGCGATGGCTAGTATGAATATTACTACGAGGATTGATATTATTAGGGTCGGTAATATTGTAATAATAGTATTACCATCATTAATCATCATCGCGTTACCGTACTTGTCGTATGATCAGTAGTACTCATTCTGGTATTATGATGACTAATTCTGGAATGCGAATTACTATTATTAATGCGATAAATATTAGTATTACCCATGTTCGTAGCGTTTGTCTTCTTCGTAATGTTAGTAGCATTCGAATTACTATTAAGGCGATCATCATCATTATTAGGGCGGTGGCGCATTCGGTCCGCGGCGCGCCCCTTTTTGGGCGCGGGGCTCCACTCCAGAAGGTGGTACACACGAAGAGCGGCAAATTGGGCTGCACAGACACAAGACCGCGAGATCCATGAGCGACCACGACGTCGCGAACGGCCCCCGCCGCGCCCAGACCGCCGCGGGCACCGCTCAGAGCAATCTGTTCACCCACGGCCCGCCGCTGGCATAAGCCAGGCCCTTGAACATGCTCTCGACCTCGCCGCCCACATTCACGTAGAACGTGTACTCGCCCATCTCCAGCGCGCCCAGCTCCAACTGGCCGCAGCGCTGGCGATTCCACCCCTTCAGATGTGAGTTTTCAGACTCGGCGTCGAAGGCGCGGAAACCAGCGGCGGGCTCGCGGCAGTTGCCCTCGTGGATGGCGGGGGGGGTCGCTCTTGCAGCCCAGGCCCATCAGGGCAGCGATGGTCGACGTTCAGCCGTCGTGGGCCAAGAACGCGCCCTTCTTCGCCTTCTCTTCTCTTCCAACGTGGACTTGACCCCCTCAATCCACGCGGCGCGCCGCCCTGCGCATCTGCCGCCCGAGGAAACTGTCGATCGGCAATCAGATTGTTCTTCTTCTGGCGCGCGCACACGGTCTGCCCGCGCCCGACTCAGATCGGCCACGGCCGCCGCCCAGTTTTCTCCAAGTTCGCCGCAAGCTTCTTCGCCGCCCTCGCAGGCGCCATCTCCATGGCCGCGAGCCTTTACATGGGGCGCGCGCGCTTCATGGGGCACCCCTTAATCTCCAGGCGGTTCGCGTCGCGCTTCGTCGGCCCCTGGCCGCGGTAGATCGCGCGCGCAAGCTGCCTCTTGAAAGCGCCCTTCATGACCGGCCTGCGAGCGCGGCGCTGGGCCCTGCGGGGCGCCTGGCGACGCTGCCCGGCGCCTCGCTGCGATGTGCCCTTCGATTCCAAGGCCCACCCGTCCTCCGTCTCATTCGGCCCGCCAATCATGCGCGCGCAAATGGTGACAGCGGTTTTCCCCGGCGTCTCCTGGCATGACTACCCCCACGCCAATAGCGCGCCCATGGCGAAGTTGCCGCGCCAACCTCGATATCCTTGCAGGGCCGCCCCAGGCGGAGCAAGCTCACGACATGCAGGAACGGCACCCATGAGTTCACCAGCACGCCTTGAGCCAGCCCTCGGAGTCGAGCTGCACCCGCACGTGCTCGCGTCCAACGCCGGCGCAGGTCCAGCCGCAAGTGGCCCACCCTCGACTCACGCGACACTCGAACTTGGCGGGGCTAGAGCGCCGGGAGGACTTGTCACGTTTGCGCGCCACGCCGAAACGCGCGAATACTGCGGCGGCTCTCACGGCCAGCGCGCGGGGGACCCCCTCGGGCATGACCAGCGGCTTTTTGACTGCGCGCTCCACAAGGCGGCGCGCGAGGAGAACCATGGCGCGCGCAGCTTTTGCCGCCACTCTTGGAAGACCTCGGGCTGCAAGGGGGCGCCGAAAAAGCCGGGGGCCCTGGCCGGCTCCGGCATTGCACGGGGGCCGCGCCGCCAGGCGAGCCTCGGGGGCGCGGGCGACGAGACCTCGATCCAGTCGGCGGCGACGATGACGACGATGGCAACGATGACGACGGCGACGACTGAGCCAAAATGCCGCGGGCAATCGCGCCTCCAACGGCGCTTGGGCACGGCGGTGACTGCGGCGCCAACGTCTCGTCTGAAGCACACTGACATTCGCCCGACGCCTCTTCCTCATCGCAGTCGGCTGGAAGATGTGATCATGTGTTAGCAACGAGAATGGAATTCATATGCGAGCCTATACGCCGCGCTGAAAGTCCACGCGAGTCTCGGCGGCGCCCGCCCAGTCCGAGCCCGAGCCCCCGACGCCGCCTACGCCGCGCTCGCCCACCGCGCGCGCGCGCCCACGGCCGCCCGCTCACTCCTCGGGAAGCCCGAGGAAAGCGAGAGCGCCCTCTTCCTCCGCAGACGGCGGGAACGCCCGCACCCCGTCATCGCCCAGCATCCGCGAGAGCTCGGCGTCGAGTTCGCCGCAGGGCGGCGCCGCGGGCCCAGGCGCAGAGGACGACGCCGCGGCACGCTGCTCGGCGGGCGATGGGCCGTCGACATTGGGCGTCATCCCCGAGAGCGGACGCTTCCGCAGCCTCAGGCGCTCAGTGGACACAGGCTCCGGCGCAACATGTCGAGGGCTCAAAGGTGAGGTCCCGGGGGGGGGGGGGGGCCTAAGGCCGAGGCAATGCTTCAGCTTTCGGATCGCGTCGAAGTGCCCCCTCGCCCTAAGGGCCACACCCCGCAGGGCCACATTTTTGAACCCCCCAGCCTGGACGAAAGAATGGGCCCGCAAAGAACCGGCGACCGCGTCCGAAGACCTCTTGCGGATCTTCTCCACGGCGGAGTCCACGAGGAGCCGCCCCTGCTCCAAGCTGCTGGAAGTTGGCGAGCGGGATCACGTCGCCGCCCTTCTGCAGCATGCACAAACGGGCCCCCATCGGCCGTCAGGTCTCGCCCTTGAAGGCACTGCGCAGAACACTCCTCCTCGGCGCCTGCCGGGCGCCAGTAGAGGTACTCCTGGGCGTTCACAAGCAACGCCGAACGCTCGAAGAAAGCCAGCACGCACGCGAGGGTCGCCTTCTCGTAGAAGGCAGGGCGCACATTCTCGAAGAACTCCTGGCACGACGCGGAGGCCAACGGTCTAGCTTCTCGGCAGACGGATTGCACGTCTGGCTCGCCTTCTCCCATTTCGTCGCGCCCCACCTGGCCCGGCACATGCTCTCGGACTGGCCGACGCCGAGCAAGGCCTTCACCATCTTGGGCGGGAGGAAGTCCAAGCAGACGTCGCCCACAAAGCCCCCCATCAGAATGTCGCCTGGCTCGCCTCGCAAGAAGTCGACCTCGGGCTCCACGCGGACGGGCGCCCTCCGCAGCGAGGCCGCTCAGCGCCTTCGCAACCAGGGCAACGGGCCACCCGTGGATGGGGGGGCCCTTGGCGCAACGCCCTCGTCTGCCAGACCAACTGCTCGAGGCCGGCCGCGGAACGAAGCGCGTTCTTCGCGATGCACCCGAAGCCCGCATGTATCTCCTCGTCCGAGAGCTCGTAGAATTCGCTCACCTTGGAAGCCGTCTTGACGTCTGGCGAAAGGAAGAAGGCCCGAAGCTGTTCCCACCAGATCACTCGAAGGCGCACTGCCAGACCTCGACCCCCACCCTGCATGGCAGAACAAAAGAAGGGTGAGGGCGCAGCGGCGACCACGCCAGGTTCTCAGATTCTTTGGGCGCAGGAAAACCCAACCATCGGCCGCAACGCCCTCGCCTTTTTTTTATTGGTCGCGCACCTTGAGGTGCTGGAACACGAACTTCTCGACGCTCCCGAACGCCATCCTAACGCAGATGGACGCCTTCGCCTTGTTGGGCAGGACGCAATGCTTGATGATGCTCTTCGTGCCGTCGGGGCCATCGAAGATGCACGTGGTTGGGCGGCGCCGACTTGAAGCCGAACGGCGGTGGGAGCTGGTGGGATTCGCTGTTCTTCCACGCCGCCCTGTCCAGCTCGTCCAGCTCGGGGGGAATCGGGCCTGTGTAACCAGTGACAAAGTCGACGCAGTGAACAAGAGGGAGGAGGGCGATGGAGGAGACCGAGAGTAGAAGTCTGGTGGCGGGGGGGGGGGCGGGGATGGGGGGGAGGGCGAGGAGGGAGGAGGGCGAGGAGGGAGGGAGGGCGAGGAGGGAGGAGGAAGGGCGAGGAGGGAGGAGGGAGGAGCGAGGAGGGAGGGAGGCAAAGTCCCTGGGCAGAGCGGTTGTCACCATAGGGGGGGAGGCAGAGGGCGGCAAACCAAACCCTACGTCGCCGTCTCGAGGTCCTCGCACGCGGACATGCCACGCCCGTGAAAAAACGGGGCTGGTTAGCCAGAGGGCGCAAGAGCGCTGCTGGTGTGGATGGGGGAAAAAAACAGCCACGAGCTGAGGAATGCAGCATACCGCACAATGATGGGAACCCGTTGGTTGGGTTCCCCCCTGGGGGTCCTGAGTCCCCTCCCGGGTCCCCTCCTGGGTCCCCCCCCTGGGTTGCCGTTGAAGAGCTCCTTAGTCCCATCCTGGGTTCCCTCCTGGGTCCCCTCCTGGGTCCCCTCCTGAGTCCCGCGGTCCCCTCCTGGGTCCCCCCCTGCGTCCCGTTATAAGTCCTTCGGTCTCCTTCTGGGTCCCCTTTCTGGGTCCCCTCCTGAGTCCCCTCCTGGGTCCCCATCCTCAGTCCCCTCCTGAATCTCCTCCTGGGTCCCCTCCTGGGTCCCCTTTATGAGGCCCCCTGTCCAGGGGGCTCCTGGGTCCCCTCCTGGGTCCCCTCCTGGGTCCCCTCCTGGGTCGCCTCCTGAGTCCCCTCCTGAGTCCCTCGGTCCCCTCCTGAGATTCCCCTCCTGAGTCCCCTCGGTCCCCTCCTGTGTCCCCTCGGGGGTCCCCTCCTGAGGCCCCCTCAACAAAACAAAAAGCATACACCAAAGATCGACGGCTGAAACACAGAACAACTCAAGGAAAAAAACCGTCGTCCCCCCCCCCCGCCCAGGAAGTATTGGCATAACTGGTGTGTGTTTGGTGTGGCTTGTTCTTCCGTTGGCTTGTTGGTGTTTTAGTCGTCGGCCTTTGATTTCGTTGGTGTCAACGGTTGTTCCTTATGCTGTTGTGGTGTTTCATTGCCGTTGCTGTTTCTCGCTCGCTCCTCGCCTGGACACTACAGATGTAGCTCCTCTTCAGAAGCAGGGTAACGACGAAGAGAAGGCCGCAGAGACGGCGGAGGCGGAGGGAGGAGGGGGAAGGGAAGTGGAGAAGAGTGAGAGACGGAGGAGCGACACGGAGTTGGAAAGAGAGCAGTTCCTTCTCACACCCTTTGCTCGTCGTGCACACCGAAAGGGTGCCGCATCAAAGGGGAGGTGGTAGGGTTCACAAGCCAAAACAGCCCTGCGCGGTTTTGCAGGGGTGGGGGGAATACGCCAGGACCCCAGTATTCGTATGAGTTTTACGATTTGACTTAGAAATAATATGATCACCAAGAACTTGCCGTTATTAGCATTAGTAATTGTATGAGTAGTAGTAGTAGTGGTAGTAGTAGTAGTAGTAGTAGTAGTAGTAGTAGTAGTAGTAGTAGTAGTAGTAGTAGTAGTAGTAGTAGTAGTAGTAGTAGTAGTAGTAGTAGTAGTAGTAGTAGTAGTAGTAGTAGTAGTAGTAGTAGTAGTAGTAGTAGTAGTAGTAGTAGTAGTAGTAGTAGTAGTAGTCGTAGTAGTAGTAGTAGTAGTAGTAGTAGTAGTAGTCGTCGTCGTCGTAGTAGTAGTAGTAGTAGTAGTAGGAGGAGGAGGAGGTGGAGGAGGAGGAGGAGTAATAGCAGTAAAAATATGATTAGGTTTCCGTAAT